CAAACTCAGCAGCATAGCCTATCTCTCAGTCTTTTCCTTTCGTTTTGTTAATCTGTTAATTTGGCTATTGAAGTCAAATATTTCGCACATTCATTCATTTTATATATAGGCTATGATTTAATAAAAACAGATTTTGTTATTTTTAGTTAAACTTAATTTTTGTTGCTTGTCTGCGCTCGTCTGCCGTCTTTTTCTCTTCTCCGACCCCGCAGCTCTCTCTTCGATAGCTTAGTGTTAGTGGCACCAGTCTAGGTGTTTCCAGGTTTTACTCGTGCTATTTCTCCATGTTGAGAGTTTGGTGCACATATTGCTAAGCATTCTTATCCTTTTCTCCGATAAACTGAAAATAACAGGAGTGTGTCCATCTCACAAATGTAGAATCCGTCTCTGCAGTCATCTCAACCATCTAATTTACCCGCGGAATTTTTTCTCTGGTGCTGTTTTGCGGTGTTGGTAAATTCACCACTTAATTTAGAGTTAAAATATGTTGTTGTAGCTTGCGTTACTGAGATTGTAACGAGTAATAATATTACCCAAATTTTATTAGTAATGCGTTATATTACTGCGTTACAGTAAAACGTAATATACTAGTGTAATATTATTACTTTTGTAATGCGTTACTCCCAACACTGTTGATTGATACATGTTTTGTAAAGTTTTACCCTTTTTTTGCAGATCCAGCATGCCAGCAAGCAAATTACAGTAGACAAACAATACAAAGGTATTGTAGACTGTATAGTACATATTCCCAAGGAGCAGGGCTTCTTGTCCTTCTGGAGAGGCAACTTGGCCAATGTCATTAGGTACTTCCCAGCACAGGCTCTCAACTTTGCTTTCAAGGATAAGTATAAGAACATTTTTCTGGATGGTGTTGACAAGCGTAGCCAGTTTTGGAGGTACTTTGCTGGTAACCTCGCCTCTGGTGGTGCTGCTGGAGCCACGTCCCTGTGCTTTGTCTACCCCCTTGACTTTGCCAGAACCCGTTTGGCTGCTGATGTCGGGAAGGCTGGCGCAGAGAGAGAATTCACAGGTCTTGGAAACTGTTTCACAAAGATCATTAAGTCTGATGGTCTGAAGGGCTTGTATCAGGGCTTCAACGTGTCTGTGCAAGGCATCATCATCTACAGGGCGGCTTACTTTGGCATCTATGACACAGCAAAAGATGGGTTTTATTAGGAGTAGACATAAGGCAGATTGCCCCTTAATTGTGACTTCCAGGGCCATGACTAGAATATCTAACATCAGGGACAGAGCTAGGGCTGAAAATCACAATTATTTTGCTCAAATTTTTATTGTGATTATTAATAAAAAAATGTTCATTTGAGTAATATCTTTTCACAGTTCATTATAAGTATTGCACTTTCACTCACATACTTACATTTATTTTATTCCACATTTAGCTTTTCTATTAAAACAGCATCAAAGGTGCATTTATTCAGCAACCACATTTGCAAATAATGTAATCGAGACATATGTTTGGATGAATTACAGTCCATCACAGAGGCTTGTTACCAATTCACTTTAATGGAAATGTGTAAAAAAAATAAACAAATAAAAATTACTGGCCAATATTGCAGACTTTACTGAGAGGAGAATGAAACCGTGACTGTGATTAGAAAAAAACAAAAAACCAGTGAGCAGCCCTAGGCTGAATCCATGGACTTGAAAAAGTAATTCCAGTTATTCCGTGTAACATGTTTCAAGGAAGGTTAAATCTGCTATTTCAAAGTCTGTTGTAAGTGCCACACTTTCTGCTGCCATCAATGTGATCAGCGCCCATGATCAAACATATAACACTCATTTTTATCTAATTACACAAACGCTAGGACAAAAAATAATAATCATCCTTATAAAAGATTTTATAAAAAATGTGGGCTATTTACTAACTGCTTGCTTTCTTTAAAAAAAATATAAAACTTGCTTCTCTATTCTTTTTCTATTCTATCTATTCCTTTTCTTTTTATTTATTATACAATTAGCAAAAGCAAAAAAGGCCTCTAACATTAGCTTGCTCTATTCTTTTTCTATTCTATCAGTTTTCTTTTTATTTATTATATAATAAAAAAAAACCTTGCTATGTATGCTACATTAAGCTAACTGAGACTTATAGCACTTGCGTATCATTGCTCTTTTGTGGATTTTGATTGCTTCCATTGTCCTCATTTGTAAGTTGCTTTGGGTAAAAGCATCTGCTAAATGACTACATGTAAATGTAATAAAAATAATCATTAGGAAAACAATAGGGATTTTGAGTTCTTGGACCCTGACAACTCTATGTAAATAACTTTAGAAGCTTTCAGGACTCCAAACGGTGACTACAAAGTTCTGGCATGAAAATCTAGATGGTGCAGTCCGATAGGTCTAACTCAATCTGACATAATGACATCATCACATGGCACAGCTGATTGGCACATTCCTGTATCAGTAGCCAATGAGCTCGCTGCTCAACATTGGTTAATGACTGCTGTAGCAGTCCCAGCGCACTTCAGAAAGCCTCCACCTTCCCCAGCTCCACCTGTTTAGATCTGCTATGGGGTGATCATGTGTGCTATAGCGTTATTCATATATGTTATATGTGCAACAGCAATATTTCTTACATGCTTACAGCAGCATGTTGTGGATGTATTGGCAGAAGCAAGTCTCGGTACTTGCTCTGCCGCAGCAGCAGCAGTGTAGCAGATCTAATCCGCCAAAACCAAATGCATTAACGTTACCATGCCAATCCCTCCAAGAGTTGTCATGACAGAAATATCGATGTTTTGCAACCTTTCTTCCTGCCAGTATGACATGGGTTCCACTGCAAAGTTGCCCAGACATTAGACATCTTTCAAATTAGTACAAGCTGAAACAGAGAGGGATTAAGGAAAAGTAAAAGTAAAGATTTTTTTCAGTCAAATGTTGACGGAAGAGATGAGTTTTCAGCTGTCACTTGAATATTATCAAGGATTCGGCATTCCATCAAATATTCTGCATTCCGGATTGTCAGCATTCCACCAGCAAGGAACAGTGAATGAAGATGTTCTGGAGAGTGATTTTGTGCCTCTCTGTGATGGTACAACAAGGCATTGCTCACTTACTGACCTCAGGATTCTAGAGGGGATGTAGACTCGTAAAAGTGAGTGGAAGTAGGAGGGTGCTGAGCCCGTGGCTGATCTATATGTAAGCATCAATGTCTTGAACTTGATGCAAGCCCCAACTTGTAGCCTGTGTGGAGAGATGAAGAGAGGTGTGATGACCAATTATGCTGCTACGCTCTTAGTTTACCCCAAAATGAAAATTCTGTCATTATATATATATATAATATAAAATTTTGCGATTAGCTCCATAAACTGTACACAAATTCGTGATCGCCTCAGTCCCCTTTAAATTTCATATGAAAACGGCGGCAGACTTTGGTCGGCTCCTGCCCGTCTTTCAGCGTGTTCTTCAATCAGCAGACCGTGGCGGCACATTGCGAGAGACAGAGGACAAGGTGTGTGTTTATCGATAGATTGTTATAATATCTGCATCTGTGCAGTTCTTTGTCATAAATCAAGTTTACAAAATATCATGGGGGAGCAATCGGTTTCCCATCTACTGTAAAGTTTTCATTGTGTTCACCCCTTTCTGCGTTCTTTCTGTCTTATTCCGACGTCACCGTAGCCACCAGATCCAGTCTGTATCCAGCCCAGATGGTGGATCAGCACCTAGAGACGATCTCTACAGCCCTGAATTTCAGCGGAGACCAGGACAACTAGATGAGCCCCAGAGACAGATCCCCAGTGAAGACCTTGTCTCCTAGACGGCCATCAGGACAAGACCACAGGAACCAGATGAGCCCTCTGCACAATTTAACTTTGCTGCAGCATGGATCAACCTGCTGGTTCGTCTGGCCAGAGGAAAACTGGCCCCCCGACTGAGCCTGGTTTCTCCCAAGGTTTTTTTCTCCATTCTGTCACCGATGGAGTTTTGGTTCCTTGCCGCTGTCGCCTCTGGCTTGCTGTTAATCTGTTAATTTGGCTATTGAAGTCAAATATTTCGCACATTCATTCATTTTATATATAGGCTATGATTTAATAAAAACAGATTTTGTTATTTTTAGTTAAACTTAATTTTTGTTGCTTGTCTGCGCTCGTCTGCCGTCTTTTTCTCTTCTCCGACCCCGCAGCTCTCTCTTCGATAGCTTAGTGTTAGTGGCACCAGTCTAGGTGTTTCCAGGTTTTACTCGTGCTATTTCTCCATGTTGAGAGTTTGGTGCACATATTGCTAAGCATTCTTATCCTTTTCTCCGATAAACTGAAAATAACAGGAGTGTGTCCATCTCACAAATGTAGAATCCGTCTCTGCAGTCATCTCAACCATCTAATTTACCCGCGGAATTTTTTCTCTGGTGCTGTTTTGCGGTGTTGGTAAATTCACCACTTAATTTAGAGTTAAAATATGTTGTTGTAGCTTGCGTTACTGAGATTGTAACGAGTAATAATATTACCCAAATTTTATTAGTAATGCGTTATATTACTGCGTTACAGTAAAACGTAATATACTAGTGTAATATTATTACTTTTGTAATGCGTTACTCCCAACACTGTTGATTGATACATGTTTTGTAAAGTTTTACCCTTTTTTTGCAGATCCAGCATGCCAGCAAGCAAATTACAGTAGACAAACAATACAAAGGTATTGTAGACTGTATAGTACATATTCCCAAGGAGCAGGGCTTCTTGTCCTTCTGGAGAGGCAACTTGGCCAATGTCATTAGGTACTTCCCAGCACAGGCTCTCAACTTTGCTTTCAAGGATAAGTATAAGAACATTTTTCTGGATGGTGTTGACAAGCGTACCCAGTTTTGGAGGTACTTTGCTGGTAACCTCGCCTCTGGTGGTGCTGCTGGAGCCACGTCCCTGTGCTTTGTCTACCCCCTTGACTTTGCCAGAACCCGTTTGGCTGCTGATGTCGGGAAGGCTGGCGCAGAGAGAGAATTCACAGGTCTTGGAAACTGTTTCACAAAGATCATTAAGTCTGATGGTCTGAAGGGCTTGTATCAGGGCTTCAACGTGTCTGTGCAAGGCATCATCATCTACAGGGCGGCTTACTTTGGCATCTATGACACAGCAAAAGATGGGTTTTATTAGGAGTAGACATAAGGCAGATTGCCCCTTAATTGTGACTTCCAGGGCCATGACTAGAATATCTAACATCAGGGACAGAGCTAGGGCTGAAAATCACAATTATTTTGCTCAAATTTTTATTGTGATTATTAATAAAAAAATGTTCATTTGAGTAATATCTTTTCACAGTTCATTATAAGTATTGCACTTTCACTCACATACTTACATTTATTTTATTCCACATTTAGCTTTTCTATTAAAACAGCATCAAAGGTGCATTTATTCAGCAACCACATTTGCAAATAATGTAATCGAGACATATGTTTGGATGAATTACAGTCCATCACAGAGGCTTGTTACCAATTCACTTTAATGGAAATGTGTAAAAAAAATAAACAAATAAAAATTACTGGCCAATATTGCAGACTTTACTGAGAGGAGAATGAAACCGTGACTGTGATTAGAAAAAAACAAAAAACCAGTGAGCAGCCCTAGGCTGAATCCATGGACTTGAAAAAGTAATTCCAGTTATTCCGTGTAACATGTTTCAAGGAAGGTTAAATCTGCTATTTCAAAGTCTGTTGTAAGTGCCACACTTTCTGCTGCCATCAATGTGATCAGCGCCCATGATCAAACATATAACACTCATTTTTATCTAATTACACAAACGCTAGGACAAAAAATAATAATCATCCTTATAAAAGATTTTATAAAAAATGTGGGCTATTTACTAACTGCTTGCTTTCTTTAAAAAAAATATAAAACTTGCTTCTCTATTCTTTTTCTATTCTATCTATTCCTTTTCTTTTTATTTATTATACAATTAGCAAAAGCAAAAAAGGCCTCTAACATTAGCTTGCTCTATTCTTTTTCTATTCTATCAGTTTTCTTTTTATTTATTATATAATAAAAAAAAACCTTGCTATGTATGCTACATTAAGCTAACTGAGACTTATAGCACTTGCGTATCATTGCTCTTTTGTGGATTTTGATTGCTTCCATTGTCCTCATTTGTAAGTTGCTTTGGGTAAAAGCATCTGCTAAATGACTACATGTAAATGTAATAAAAATAATCATTAGGAAAACAAT